GTATCATCTAAAAAATTATTTTTTTTTTTAAAAAAAAAAATTGTTTTTCTATATTAAAAAAAGATAAAAAAATTTTTTTAAAATAATAACCTCTCCGGCGTGACAAGTTCCTACTTTTTCTGTAATTTTAAGACAATATCTAGGAATTGGCACTAATTCTGCTTCTTTACATTTATAAGTTTGTCCCATGCTTGGAGCAATGTTCCACGAAACAACCGGGGGTGGTACCTGAAAATAACATAATAATAAAAATGCATTGCAATCGTGAAAAAAAAAAATTTAATAGCGTTCAGTATACTACAAACTCTGTGTTTTTCTCTGGGAGCTGTGTGACATCTTTTCCTTTGATTTCCTTCAACTGTATTAAATCTCTGAGTAAGACCGTTAACCGGTGATATTTGACCTCTTGTAGCGATAGCAGTTGTAGTTTGATGCGTTTTATAAAGCAAACCCGTAAATGTTCCAACACCACCACCATTACCACCATTGTTATTTTTTTGCGAGTTCATCGAATTAAATTCATTTGTTTGAATGAAAGGAGTTGAAAGTATCGAAGTTAAATTTTTATTACTCTTATCATTTTATCAGACATTATGTTGTTTATTTTATTATTTAACGTTTGAGAAGAATAATTCGTTGAGTAACCCGTTCTCGAGGGAGAATAATCATCGTCGGAATTTTTAGGTGACGGTGGAGGAGATAAATTTTTTTCATCTGAATTTTCAATTTTATCGACGGGTAATTCAGGTTCATCTGTAACAAAATTTATTTTTAAAAATAAATCCGAGATATTAAATTATCGTTAAGAAAATTTAAAATGAGGAATAGAGGGGGAGGGGGGAAAAAAGAAAAACTTTATGAAAAATTATAAAATTTTTAACTTGAAAATCTCTCAAGTTATAAAATATTGTTTTCATAATTTTTTTTTTTTTTTTAAGTTCAAGTTTTAATTTTAAATGTATAAAATTTGAAATAATTTAAAAGAGAAATAAAGTAAACAAATTAAGCCGACAACAATCCTGTAAAATTTTATACACACATACATACATATACATATAAATATATAAGCATAAATATAAAACTAAGTAATGTTTCATGTTAGAATAAAACTTGTTAAGCTTTTTCTATGTTTACATAATTATTATTAATCTTCCATTTTCTAAAAACTTACAATATATTACTTAAATAAATTTTTCTTTCTTTTTTCTTTTTTTTTAAATTCAGAATAAAAATAATTTGTTTTATTATTATTATTATTATTATTATTATTATTATTATTATTATATTATTATATTATTATTCATATCATTTTTAATTAATAATAATATTTTTTTTGTATTTATTTATTATTAAAAATAAACATTTTAAAACTTTTTTTTTTTTTTTGATTAAAAATATTTTTTGAATTTAAACTCATTGTTATTTTTAATAATAATAATAATATAATTAATAATAATAATTAATGTTTTTTTTAATGAGTTTTTTAAATAGAAACATACATATGTATATTTTTATAACAATAAATAAATAAAAAATAATAATAATAATAAGGGAGTTTATTATTGTTAAAATTTTGACATTACATAAAATTAAATGTATTTATTGAAAGAGAATAAAAAAAAAGGTGGGGACAGAGAGAGAGAGAAAGAGAGAAAGATAGAAAGATAGAGAGAGAGAGAGAGAGAGAGAGGGAGGGAGAAAGAGAGAGAGAGAGAAAAATGGAATTTAAAATTGATTCGAACGTTATATTGAAAATTTTATATATAAAAAAAAAAAAAGTAAAAAACAAAATCTTCTCACTGTATATAAAATCCGGTGAGAGAGAGAAAGAAAGAGAGAGAGAGAGACAGAAAGAAAGAAAGAGAGAGAGAGAAAGTGATTTGTGTTGTCAAAATGGTCGACTGAATTTTATAATATATATAAAATATAAAAAAAAAATAATTCTATTGAAATTTTAACCTTATTTGAGGTTAAATAGTTTTTTTTTATTCCGGTTTGAACATTATTAAATATATATATTTTTTATTTATGTATTTAAAAATAAGAAAAAAAAATGATTTATTTATTTATTTTGTAAAAAAAGTAAATAAATCAAATTTGTAATTATATACGTTTCGCAATAAATCAAAAAAAAACCTTTTTGGAAAAATATTAAAATATTTTAAAACGATTTAATTTATTTTTAAACTTTTTAAATAACTTTTTAAAAAAAAGGAAAAAATTACATCGTAAGCTAAATATTTAACAACAAAAACAACAACAACATGATATTTATATATATATATATATATATTAAAAACAATTATTTTATTTTCTTACGTTATTTAATTTATTATTATTATTATTATACATTTTTTTTTTGCAATAAAATTTTGTTGGCAATTTCGTATGTTGCACAGATGTTAAAAATTTTCTTTTTTGTTAAAAAAAACATTTTTAATATTAATAATAATAAAAAAAATGCCATGTTTAAAAAAAAAGAAAAAAAATTTTTTTTTTTAATATTTTACTCAAAAAAAAAGACTTATTTCCCGGGGTTTCCCCTCTCCCTCACTCGTTTTGTTCTTCTTTTTTTTTTAATATATTATTTTTTTTTTTTTTCAAACCGACAAATTGATGGAAAATTCAGTAAATCATTTTCTTTTTTTTTAAATTTAGATGTTTAAAAAAAAACTCGCGCGCGTAAATTTAAAAAAAAAAAAAATAACAAAAATAAAATAAGAAAAAAATTTTTTTTTTTTTAATATCAAATTTTGTGTCTGAACAATTTTAAAACTTATGGCGTAGAACGAGAGTTTCTTGTTATTATTGTCAATTTATTTTTACGATTTTTGAGGGAGGAAAAGGAAAAAAAAATGGGAGTCGGAAGGAAAAAAAAAAATTTTTTTTTTTTTGTTAAGTCGATAAAACAGTAAATTTTGTTTGTTGTTGTTGTTGTCGTTGTTATTTCATAAATAATATATATATATATAAATGTAAGAAATGACGCATTTTGTCGGCTTGTAGTAAATAAAAATTGATTTCCAGATTTTTTTTTTTTTGATAATAAATAAATTTTTGACGAAACATGAAAAATAAAAACGATTTTTAAAAATATTTAAATAAAATAACAATAATAATAATAATAATAATAATAATAATAATAATAATAATAATAATAATAATAATAATAATAATAAATGAATTTATGAATTTTTTCATGCCCCCCCCCTTTTTTTTTTGTTAAGGATAACGAAATAAAAACCGTTTAATTCTAAGCTTTATAAAGATTATTATTATTATTATTATTATTATTATATTTTAACCGAACGAATGTTCAGTAATAACAAGAAATTTTGAATATTTAATCTGTTAATCTTTTATTATTATCATTATTTTTTTAAAAAATTTTATTCTTAATAACGTTATGTAAAAAAATTAAATTTTAATGTTAATTCAATACGATAATAAAATACGTAATAATAATAATAATAAAAATTAATAATAAAATATTTTAAAATTAAAATCGTTACGTTTGGTATTATCATAACTTTGAAAAAAAGTCGTTATCATTTTTTTTTATAAAGGGTTTCCGAATGTATATATTAAGATTATATTTTAATATTAGAGAAAAAAAAAAGATTTTTAAATTACATATTTACTTTTTTTTTTTTTTTAGGTGAAAAAGGGATTAAAAGGAAACAATTAAAGAAAAAGAATAAATAAAAAATGAACTTACCGTTGTTGCTTTGTAAAGTGGCATAATTTAATCCGTTATATGCAGTGACCAATGGTGATCTATATTGTTCGAAACTTAAGGGTGAACTACCACCCTGAGGATCTTGTGACGTAGGTGCAACGATTCCAGAATTGCTAGACGGCGTCAAATTCATGAGGAGATCCTAAAAGGTAATTTTCATTTAATATCATTTTTATTGAATGTAAAAGGGTGAAAGTTTTTCTTATCAAAAAAAAATAATAATAACATATATATATGTAATCTTAGTATGAAGGTTGAAAATGAAAAAAAAAAAAACTTGATGTTCTTATCTCTAACCTTAGTAGATCGAATAGGGAAAAATATATATAAAATATTATAGCAAAAAAAAGAAGAATTTAGTTGATAATGAAGGGGTTGTTTAGATCGTGATGAGTTGATAATCGAGTTGTTATATGACCTTTATCTCAAATCTTTTATTTCTTTTTTTTTTTTATCTCACATTTTCCCTTAACCCTTAAATTATTATCGTTATCCAATCATGGTGTGTATTAATATTGAATTTACGTTTTTCCTTAAGGTTAAAAATTTGATAAAATTATTAATAATATAAATTTTAAAGTTTTGTGATGGAGTGATAAAAAATTGAAAATCATTAAGATATTAAGTTGTTAAACAAACATGTTGTTAACTCGTTCGTAATAATTTTCTTTTTTTTGCGCGCGAAACGAATGTAAAATAATAATAATAATGGAAATAATGTTATTAAACCATTCGTAGTCTGGTTTCGTAAAAGTAAACGATATCATTTTTTTATGATTTTGTGTTTTTTACAAATGCTTTAGTTATTTCAATAAAAAAAAAATTATGTAATTACTTTCATGTTAATCGTGACTCCGAACGGATTTCTCAATAGTGTCGGTGATCCCTGTAGTTTTTGTCTTCTGCTCAATAAAAGTATTATGACGAAAACGATGAGTAGTAGCAAAACCATGGCGGTTAAAACACCAATGATAACTTCGACGTAACTCTGTCCTTCTTTTCTTGCGGCAACTTAAAAAAAAAAACAAGAGGGTGAGGGGTTAGGGGGAAATTTATCACTCCGTAACCAAAAAAAAAAAAAAAATTTAAATATCGTAATAAAATAATGACTCACTCGTTTCTAACGAATTTAAACTCAAATCCGAATTACCAAATTTGACAAAAATATCATCATCGTCTTCGGAATTTAATTCCATTTCTTCGGTGAAATTACCATCGTATAAAATATCGGATTCGAAAGTAACTTCGCTTAACATAATCCATTTATTCGAAAAAAATAAATGGATTTTGACGAATTTTCCAACTCTTCCGTGTAAATGTATCGATACGTTTCTAGCAATTTCCAAAACTTTATCCGGCATGTAAGTGTAAATTATCGGCCGACCGTTAAAAAATTTTCCACCGAAACTAAAAAATATTTTAGCTCTTGCAAAAACCTAGTGGGTGGGAAAATACAAAAAAAAAAAAAAAACGAGATGAGAATTTTAAAATGGTTTGCATTCAATTATATGGCAGTAAGAAAAGCGGAAATAATTGGGTAAAAAAATCTAATCAACTACGTGAACGTACGGTGAAAACAAAAAGAAGGGAAAACAATTTTTTTTTTTTTTTTAAATTTTTTTTTTTTTCGATCGACAAGCGTATTTAATGGAAATTTGTTCAATGGGAAAAAATTTGATACAAAATGGCTGACTTTACGTTTTTTTATTTTAAAAATTTTTTCTTTAAACGTTAAAAACTTTAACAATTATTAAAATACTTCCGGTAAACAGAACGCATTCGTTGTTTGCAATACAACTTATAAATTTAAATTATTACTAACTGTAACAGGGGGAGGGAGGAGGGGGAAGGAGAAAAATTAACGAAAGTTATGAAATTAATATTTAAAGGAAAAAATAAACATGGAGTTTTCTTACCTGTACTTCTTTCGAAAAAAAATTATTCGTGAATAAATGAATCGCAGTAAAATTTCTTATTTCATCAAATTCGAATGTTATTTCTATGTATTTTTTAGGGAAGGATGTTTTTTTCCAGCCAACCCAACCGTTTCCTGGAAAAAATAAAATAACGATATAAACTTTTCTTTTTTTCTTTTTTTTTCTTTCAATTTATTATAAATAACAATGTCATATTATTATTTACGTATAAATTACATGATATCGTCAAGTTCGCATCCATACATAATAATTTATCGTTAACCATTAAATAAAATAATAATAATAATAATAATAATAATAATAATACTGAAAAACTTTCACCCCTTAAAAAAAAAAATTTATCCTGGAAAAAAGGGTTGGAAAAAAAAATTTATTTACTTATTTATTTATTTTTTAATTAATTGAATTACTATTCAAACGATTTAATTTTTTTTTTTTTTTTATTCGTTAAAATTAAATTTTTTATGTTTTTGATGTTGTTGTTGTTGCCGTTTCGGGAAAATAAAATTAAATTCAGGTCAATGATTTACCTTATTAATAAGCCAGAAAATGGTTGTTGACGCAAAAATGAAAAAAAAAAAAAAAAAAAAAAAAAAAAAATTTCATGAAAATTAATTTTGGAACGTTTTGTTGTTGTTGTTATTGTTGTTGTTGTTGTGGTTGTTGTTGCTGTTGTCGTTTTGTTGTCGTTATTGAATCGGTTTTATGTAGTTTAAATTTTTTATATATAAAAACATAAATTTAACATTACATTAAACACGGTCAAGAATTACCATAAAAAATTTAAACTTTTTTTTTTTTTTTTTCTTGCACGTGAAGTGAAATCATGGAGAAAAATGAAAAAAAAAAGTTTTCGCCACGCTGTCAGTTCGTTCGATATTATTAATATTATTATTATTATTTGTTTTAATAAATGTATTTTTTGTTTTTTTTTTGTTTCTTGTTTATATTAATCAAATAACGTAGCCGTGGCATGGCGTGGCGTGGCGTGGGGGTTTGGGGAGGAAGGGGGTGGCATCCAGAGGTAAAAGGGAAAAAGTTTTCGTTTTGTTTTTCCTTTTTTTTTTTTTTTTCGTTAACTAAAAAAAAAAAAAAGTAATATTAAAAAATGTGGAAAGGATGAATGGAATTTCCGTTTTAGAAAAGGAAAAAAAAAAAAAAATTATTGGTTATACGTAGTAAAAAAACATTTTTTAAATTCTTTCAATGCGTACGATGTAAAATTAAAATAAAAAAAAAAAAGCAAAATGGTTATGGGACATTTTCGTGTTTCTCTTTTTATGTTTTTTATTTTTCCGGTCGTATATATTTATATTACACATTCGTACAAAAATTATTTTCCGGTATTTTCATATATATGTATTTATATCGGAAACGAAAAAAAAGGGGGAGGGAGGGAGGGAGGGAGGGAGGGAAAGAAGAGGAAATGTTTTTTTTTTTTTTGTTAATGTGGTTCAGATACGGCAAATAATAAAATAACGAGAAAATTTAAATAAATCTTTATAAATGCGATTTAAATCTTATATAATAATAAATTAAAATGATAAATATATACGTGGTTTATATTATATGGTGTGTGCGTGTGCGTGTATAATATTCAGCATTTTGCTTTTTTTTATTTACTAAGGTATAATAAAATTTTATTATCTCTCTCTCTCTCTCTCTCTCTTTCTCTCTCTATATATTTACCCTTTCCGTATCCGATATCCAATCTGAAATTATCTCCACCTAATTCACCATCCACGAGCCTACCCAAACCGTTGACCAAAAATCCGTTAACTTTTTCACCGTCGTAAGAA